TAAGAAAACTCATTTGTCTAACATTCTTAAAACTGTAAAGCCATTACTTTTAGTGTAATTAGATGAACTTGGTTACAGACTTTTCATCAAGTAACTATGAAGCTATTTTTGTTATTAGCACACAATTACTACAAAACATGGTTATCTGTGAAAAAGGAATGTTCTCAGAATTGACATTAGGGCAAATAGTTGTTATGCAGTCGGGTCTGACACATCGCAACCCTGTGCACAACAGAGGAAAAACACTGCACAGTCCTGCGCCATCCTCACAATTACTGCTTTGCCTGAGTCCATTGATGCAGCCACTGTTTCAATCCATCTTTTTGAGGGCCTAGATCTTTTTACCACCCCCATCACGTTGCCAAACGTCTCTCCTGACAATGTGTCTAAAGTATGGAAGATGAAGTCTTGCTATTCTTGCCTCTAAGGAGCACTCTGGCCTTACTTCCTCCAAGACAGATCAGTTTGCTCCAGTTCCTGAATCTTTCGGTATTCTTCTCCAGCACCATAATTCAAATGCTTCAGTTATTCTACAGTCTTGCCTTTTCAATTCAGTGTCCAACTTTCACATGCGTCTGTCTGGTGCAATGAAGAATACCATGGCTTGAGTCAGGTGCACCTTAGTCCTCAAAGTCACACCCATGCTCTTCAGTACTCTAAAGAGGTCTTGTGCAGCAGATTTTCTTAATGCAACTTGTCTTTTGATCTCTTGATGGCCGCTTCCATGGATTCAAGTAAAACACAACCCTTGACAATTTTACCCATTTGTCCATTTATCATGATGTATCCTATTGGTCCAGTTGTGAAGATTTTGATCTTCCTTACATTGAGTTGTAATCCATACTTAAAACTACATTAAGGCATAGTATTTTAAAATACTGTTTTTTGATGGTGATTAATTTTCTTTTTGCAGAGTAACCAGTTATTCTCAATTTATACAATGATTTTATGTCTTTGATTTTGTTTGGTGGTAATGATAGAAGGTGGGAATATTATGTATGTAAGGTATACTTATAACATATATATATGACACACACACACACACAAGCCACATGCACATTATTTTTTAATTCCTCTTTTATGTGAACTTTTCAAAACCCCTCCTATATGTATGTGTATATCATGGCATGTTAACAGTATATCTCTGGAGAAGATATCCAAACTTTAACTCAATGAATATAAGCAAAATAATGTTTATGAGATTGTTGATCTTCAGATTCAGACTTTAGCTATCTTGCTGCAAAATTGATAAGTTCTTTGAACTAGATTGTTAGTAAACCAACAAACACAGGCGACAAAAAAACTTCAGTTCTTAGGAATATCTTTAATAGGTCAGAAAAGTCTGAAATTTTGCTTACTTTGTAGAAAACAAAATTTGAGATTCTGAGCAACAAAACCTTTAAAGTCACTTAAGATTCACTTAGGAAGCTATTCCTAGGTGAGTAACGTTTGGTTCTTAATCAGGAAGGCAGTGTAACAGTGATTACAGATTCTGGAGCCAGCCTGCCTGGGCTTGAATCTTGCTTCTATTTAGTAGGGTGGCTCTTCTCTACTCTTTGATTCAGTGTGTTCATCTGGAAATGGGTATAATAATGCCTGTTTTATGGGGTTTCTGTTTGTAAAATGCTTATCCCATTAATTTTCATATAGTGTTAGCAGTTTCCTACAAATTCACTCAGCAAACAGATTTTTGGGTATCTGTTGTGACTTGGTACACAAACTTTCAAATAAATGGTAGTGTAAGATGCTGTAAAATAAGTCTTTATACTTAGAGAGCATGGTTTGTAATTTTCAAAAAGCTAACATGGGAATTCAATGATTAGGTTATTCGGTACAACAGTGAACACGCTTTTTACTTAATTTCATGTTAATGAAGACTTTACATCTGCCTGTAAATAAATGTTATTGAGCATAACTTTAAATGTACAAGAGCAGTAATTTAGTTACCTTCCAGATTGTTTGGTCAAAGTATACACTCTGCTGTCCTTTGTTCATCCTGTGTTTAACTGGTTTACATGTGGTTCTTGTCTTCTCTGTATCATTCCAATTTTTAGTATATGTGCTGCCGAAGCGAGCACTATATGTGGTTCTTGTCATGCAGGTCAGTGTTCTGACTCTTTAAAATGACTTGCTCCTGGTTTCTTGCTCCTCATTACATCCCTGAGATTTCGTATCAGTAGATTTGGAGTGGTTCTCAGGAATCTGCCAATTTAATGATATCCTCGGAGGAGTCTCATTTTGTATGGGCTCATCTAGCACTTGCGGAGACGTGAGAAAGTCGAAGCAGTACATGTGCATTGTCACCTTTCTGTCCTCTTAAAGTCACAACACTTACAAAGGCTGACCGACTGTTTTGAGTTCAGTCTTCTGTCACTCCAAACATTGCTGGTTGGTTTATAGAGTAAGCAAATGTTTTGTACATTCAGTTTTTCCCCTTGGAGTAGTGTCTTAGTTGTCTAGTGATTCTCTCACAAATACCACAAGTTGATGACTTTACCAAGCAGAAACTTATTCTCTCACATCTAGAAGTCCAAACTCATGGTGCTGGTTTTAGAGAAGGGTTTCAAAGCATGGGGAACGGTCCTTGTCCTTTTTCAACCTCTCTGGGCCCACCATCCCTGGGAGATCTCTGCCTTGGCATCAGTCTCCACTTGGGTCTAGTTTAGTGCAGTAGTCCACTTAGCATCGTGACTCCAAAGGACCTGCTTCTCTCCTAGCTCTTTCTTGGTGGTAGCCAGGTTCCTTTTACTCCCTTCCTTGTTCTCCTTTTCTTTCCCATGGACGGTAAAAGGAGATGTGGCCACACTCCAGGGAAACTCCCCTTACTCTGATCCTGGTTATGACTTGAGTCCTTGGGTGTATTGTATCCCACCCTAATCTTCTTATAAATGATTGGCTTCTCACATTCAATTATATCACAATATAATTATATACTTACTAAATAGCAGCATTACCTAGCTACCAAACCACTGAGAATCATGGTCCAGCCAAGTTAACATATGTTTTAGAGGGATATAATGTATGTATGATAAACTAAGAGCCTTGTTTTAAAATCAATAAAAGTGAAAGTCCATTCATTATAGCTTTGTATGTAGAGTAAAAGTTGCACATAGTATTACCATCTAGAAAGAACCATTACTTACCTTTCTGTAAATATTCTTCCAAGGTACTTTCCCATGCATGTGTGTTTGACAGATATATAGGGTTTATTCTGTTGTATAAACGTTAAAAAACTGGTTTGGAATTATTTCCAGTTCAATAATAAATCTATAACATTTCAAGTCTGTAGAGTTTTTCATAATGTGGGTACACCTGTTTGTTCCTCATCTACTGATGGAGAATATTATTAGCTGGTTCTGCTATAAACCCTAAAAATCTCTGGATTATTAAAAAAAAACAATATTTCATTTTTCTTATTCAGTCTTGTCAGTCATGGGGCAGCACTGCTTTTGCTGTAGGTTGAGTTCAGGTCTGTTCCATATTTTTCATTTTCTGTGGACCAGCAATTACCATAGACATGGTTTTCTCATGGCAAATGGCAAGAATGCAAGAGAGCAAGTAAGCTTGAGCACGGTTACAGTGTTTGCACAAGTCACACCCACTAACAGTTTCTTAGCCACAGGAAGTCACATGCCAAGATCCACTGCGTTTGGATGGGGAAGTGCTGGAAGATGTTTATCCATTGGATAGTCTGGGGAGAGAAATGAAATCCTGATTTGTAGCACTTGCTGATTTTTGTGGTGCAAATATGCCCACTGTGACTACTTTCATGATTCCCATGGATTGGACACAGTTAGCAATTTGTTCTTGAAA